GGCCAGAGGTTGAGCTGATGCGCAGCGTATCGGACCGCAAACGGCCACAGAAAATGGGGGGCAGCCGCATGACTCAAGGAGGTACGAGCGACCTCCATGACTAGACCAATGCGGCGCTCAGCAACCCCATTCTGCTGTGGAGAGGCCGGAAGCGTGAACGACTGCTCAATGCCCTCCTGCTGACAGAAGGCCTCCAGGAGGCCAGAGGAAAACTCCCCACCTCTGTCAGAGTGCAGACGCAGGACAGGAAAGTCGGAGCGGAAACGCCTGGTGAGCTGGAGACGAGATCTGCGGATCCAAGGGATCAAGACATCAGGTACGTCACCCTTGGCTCGCAAGGGGAAGACCGTGGTGTAGCGCGAGAAGTCGTCAACAACGAGCAGGAAGTACCGCTCCTGACCCTGTCCACGGACGCGGGCTGGGCCCCACACGTCCAAGTGGAGCATCTGCAAGGGAGCAGTCGTCGGGGGAAAGGAGGAGGAGTGAGGAGCGGCGCGCAGCCGCCCCTCGACACAGGGAATACAGGGAGGAGCAGGCGAGTCGGGAAGGGGAGGGAGCACCCTGGGAAGACCAGCAACAAGGTCCCGTTTGTGCATGGCCCGAAGGCGCTGCACAGACGGGTGACCAAGGCGGTGGTGCCAAAGGACAGTCTCATGCGCCAGAGAGCGACACGAGCAGGGGGCGGACAGCTGACCTGACGCAGACGCAGACGCAGCTACCTGAGGGGACTCAGTGGTCAGTGTGTACAGGTCCGACCCCGGCTCTCGAGTGAAAGTAGCCAGGTGGCGACCCGTCCGAGCACACGTGCAGTGTGTCACGCGCTCGTAGGCAGGGGTGAACTGGTGAACACCCGAGTCCTGGAGCGCACAACCCGCCACCAAGTTCGTAGAGAACGAGGGGAGGTAGAGACCTGAAAGCGTGCCGGACGGGACCGCAGGACAAGGAAGAACAGTGGAGGAGGTCGCAATGACCGGACCCCCAGAGGGGTCAGCAAGGGAGACAGCAACTGGCCGAGCGAGTGGCTCAAGGATAGTGCGGTCACGAAAGAAAGAGCGAGAAGCACCTGAGTCCAGTGTGAAGGTGTGCAGTGCTGCAGTCAACCCAGTACCAGGGGGCACGGACGCACTAGCACCTAGGGCAGCAGCCTCACCAGGACCTGTGGGAGCAGACGCACTAGCACCTAGAGCGGCAGCCGGACTGGCCTGAATGCCCGGGTCGGGCGGAACACGCAAGTACTGAGCACCCTCTCCACTAATAGACATGGCATACATGGCAGTGAGAATAGCATCAAAGTCCAGTGCCCAAATATCGACACCCCTCTTTTCCAGATCAGCCCAGCGCGGCAGCTCAGCGGCATCGGGAAACTGGGTGCGCCACGCGTCGTTAAGGCGCGCGAAGCAGCGCTGCGTGGGGTGCGGCCTCCCACACTGCTGGCCTCTGCGGTCACCTGTGCGAATGACGTACGTGCAGGTAAAGCCACGCTGCGCATACCACTCACGGGCGGCCTGAAGCGTCGGGGCGGGCTGCTGACTCGGGCCTCCGCCAGTGCCTCCACGACCACCACCGCCACCACCACCGCCTCGGCCACCTCCACCCCTGCCGCCGCCACGACCACCTCCACCTCCGCTGCCGCCTCCACCCCTGCCACCGCTCCCGCCGCTGCTGTCTCCTCCCCCACTGCCGCCACTAGCCTCCCCAGTCGCGCCTCCACTCCCACCGCCTCCACCCCCACCTCCTCCGCCACCACCCCCACCCCTGCCTCCCTTGCTCCTGCGGCGCCCGCTCGAAGCAGACGCGGTCCCGACCTTCTCAGCACCAAGGAGGTCGACAGCAGCAGTAGAGGCGACAGAGGGGAGGAGGGGGGAAGGGGAACACCCCTCGAAGAACGGGGTGCGGGGGTCGCCACGAGAGGTGCCTACAGCGACAATGCTCGCCTCAGCTGCAAGCAGTTCCTTCTCGAGGAGGGCAACAGTGAGCTCAGTGGGGGAGCGAGAGAGGAAGTGGTCCCTGACTGCACGCAGAGAGTCAGGGAGGCGGGTGACGATGTGGTAGAGAGTGATCCAGAGCGGGGGGGGGGTTGCTAGTGAGAAACTCGGCAGGCATAGCAGCACGAAAGCGGGCCTCACTAGTCTTAAGGTGGGTGATGAGGTCTGCGACAGTGTGAAAGGAGGCTAGGTCGGGGAACAGGTAGGGGAGAGTGAGGCGGCCTAGCGTAGCAGAAGCGGGTGAGGAGTAGCGGGCAACTACAGCGGTGTAGAGGTCCTTAGCAGTCTTGCACTGGCCGAAGTGCTCGCGCTCGTCTAGCGGCAGGGAGTTGCGAATAGCAAAGCGAGCGTGCGCATCACGAGTCTGCCACTGAGAGCGTAGAGTGCTGTCAGCAGACGTGTCAGGGGCAGTAGCATGGCCTAGGGCGTGGTCGTACAGCGAGATGTCTTCCTTGGCAGTGAGCTGTAGGAACAGGTGCAGGTCATCTAGCCAGGTTTCGAACTTCACCGGACGGCCCTCGGCATCGAAAGCTAGAACGGGAGGACTAGCCATAGTGACAGTAGTAGGAGGAGGAACTAGGCCGCTGGAAAGGTGTGCGTAGGGTCAACGGGACCGGCGGGGCCGCTAGGTAAGGCGCGGGCGGGGTCGACTGTCCGTAGTGGCACACGAGCGGCAGGAGTAGGGAGCGTGGCAGCAGGAGCTGCAACGGCGCACTGGTGGCAGCTGCAGTGGCAGCAGTGTGCGCGGTAGGTAGCGTAGGGGCAGCGGCGGCGCACGGGCAGCGGCGGCGCACGGGCGGCAGCAGTGCACGTGCGGCGACGGCAGGAGGCGGCGGTGCGCAAGCAGCAGCGGAAGCAGCGCACGGGCGGCAGCTGCGTATGCGCACGTGCGGCAGTGGCAGCGGCGCACGGGCGGCTGCGGGCAGCGGGGCGTGCGCGAGCAGGCGACGGGCGGCTGCGGGGCGTGCGCGAGCAGGCGACGGGCGGCTGCGGGGCGTGCGCGAGCAGGCGACGGGCGGCTGCGGACGGGCGGCCTCTGCGACGGCGGGCTGCGGGCAGCGGGGCGTGCGCGAGCAGGCGACGGGCGGCTGCGGGGCGTGCGCGAGCAGGCGACGGGCGGCTGCGGGGCGTGCGCGAGCAGGCGACGGGCGGCTGCGGGGCGTGCGCGAGCAGGCGACGGGCGGCTGCGGACGGGCGGCCTCTGCGACGGCGGGCTGCGGGCCTGCGGGGCGTGCGCGAGCAGGCGACGGGCGGCTGCAGCAGCGGGTGCGTCAGCGTGGCGCACAGGGCAGCGGCGGGCAGTGCGCGAGGCTACGAGGCGCACGGGCAGCAGCGCAAAGGCGCGCGGGCAGCGGGGAGGCAGCGTGACGGGCCGCGCGCGAAGAAAATAAAGCGCGCGCGGGCAGCTGGCGGGGCGCACGCGTGAAAACGGCCGCGCGCGAGCGGCTAGTACGGCGCGCGCGGTAAAAAAAAAAAAAAGGAAAGCCACGCGCGGGCGGCTAGCGAGCTGCGTGCGCGTGGTAGGTAGGTAAGGAGCGCTCTAGGACGCGCAGGCGCACGAGGCGCACAGTAGGTAGGTAGGTAGGTAGGTGGGCCCTAAGAACAGTCCTAGTGAAGGACCTGCTCTGAAACCATGTCAGTAATAACGGACTGGAATGGTGAACTAGAAAGGATTGTGAGTACAAATATGAAACCCTAATGTTGTGACCCCCCTATAGGCTAACCCACTACAGCCTACACAAACACAACACATATAATGTTTGACAGGTGCATATATATGGTATATTTTAGTGTTAGAGTTTTTTTTATTAGACAAGTTGAGTGTTTCCATGGGCTTTTTAACATCACATGTTGAGGCGCGAATGTGAGTTTCGACGCGAACGTCATCACCCCCTCGAAAATGTCATTTGGCACCTCTCTGGCCGCCTGCAGCGGAAGATTTGCCAGCACGTGGCGACAGCGAAATAGTGGGCGGGGGGGAATCTCGGCAGATTTGATGTGAAAGAACCGGGAAATTTCTCTCAGAATGTAAGGCTAGAATGGTTGGATTGAAACAAGAGTTGGGTACATATCAAACCCTAGAGGGGTTGTACCCCATATTGGCTACCCCACTACAGCCTACACACCTACAGCTTATATATATATTATTTGACACACCCCCATAGGCAAAGTGGGGGAGAGCAAGGGGTCACAAGACCAGTCAAGAAAAGCAAAGCAAGCTCAGGGTGGATCACAACGTCACCACACACACTAAGCACAAGCAAAAAGGTCACAAGTCCAGTTCACATGCGGCAATAACAGCACAGTGATCATTACCTAGCAAAGACAAGCATGCAGGTATATATATACATATATTACAGTACATACAAGGTCTACAGCAAGTGTGGAAACGTAGGCACAAGGCCTAACAAAGTACAAAAGCGCTGATGATCACCAGACGGAAGTGCCTTGGTGAATATATCAGCAGTGTTGGCCCGAGTGGCCACGTGTGCAAGACGAAGCTGACCACGCTGCTGCAACTCTCGAGCCAGGAAGTAACGCAGAGCGATGTGCTTCGTTCTGTGCTCCAGTCTGTGCTCCTCACACAAGGCAATGGCAGCCTTGTTGTCGACGAACAGATCTGGAGGAGAACGAGACCGCTCTCCCAGGTCGGTCAGTAGGTAAGTGAGCAAGGACACTCCGCAACTTGCAGCAGGAGGAGGCACACACCACGTTTTATTCAAAGAGGAGCTATCTATGCCGGGGTCACCCAATGCCACACTTCCACTTTGTGTCAAGCCGCCTCTTCACAAAACAAGCACCTTCAGGGATTCGCCAAATCCTTAATCTAGTATCCCTACCGCAGCAGTGAACTGTTGGCGCAACAAAAAGAAATACAGTATTAGAGGCCGATTTGCATGCCATGCCAAAGAACGAGAACATACAAAATGTCCAGTATCCAAACACAAGCTTACCTCCCCCTGGTGCTTCTGGAAAGAGATCGCATTCACTCCAGTTTCAAGGCGCGTTACTACTTTACCCCTGGAGAGCCAACTCAAGTCTGAGAACAAAGCAAACAAAGTCAGCACCGATCATCCAAAGCGTTCTGTACACACTGTGCTTGGGGCGAATGCACTTACAATATCCACCAATTTTCCCTTTGAAACCCATCCACTTGTTTCTCCCCTTGAATAGCTTCGCCCTATTTGCATTCGGCATGGAAGCGGACATCTCGCTCTTCACATGAACAAACTCGAAGGCAGACTGCGGGTTGTCAAAGGGCGCCCACGCGACTCCTCCGTTTGCAGTCTCGTCACAATTGCCCACATTGCAATGGAAACTACTACCTGTGAATGAAAGAGAGGAACAGAGCACCAACGAGGTTTAGCCTTGGCATAGAAAAGGGCGGGCGAGATGTTCCACGAGCTACTCACCGACTTTATGGTAATGCTCATGGGTTCCTTCCGCGACATACACAATGGGATGTGTTCCCATCACTGTAGCAAACTCCTTTGGCTTGGAGTCGGCCCAGTCAGCTCCGGTGTCCCACGCCCACACGGGGCCGCCGCCGTGCTGCGCGTACCAAACACGCTGCGGCTGGCCAGACTTTGTGAAACGGATTGCAATCGCCACAAGGTCCGTAATGCGGTTGTACTCCCCAGCAAGGAGGTTGACATAGTTCTGCAAACGCGAAGGTTAAAGACAGTCTTTAATGCTTGAAACAGATTGACAACATTTCACAGAGGGGTTGGGGCGGAGTGGGGGGTGCGGGAGTGAGAGAGGGGAGGAGAGAAAAGGAATTACTTTAAACCATTGTATCACTTGGAATGCTCACATATGGGTAGAAGAGCCAATACTGAATCTCCACAAACGAGTCTGTGTCGTCGGGTTTCGGATTGTAAATGACCGTGTACAGCTTCGTGCCTCCGTTCTTCGGGTTGCGCCTCGAGTCTTTCACCCAGTCCGTATTCTGATCAATTTCACCCAGAATCCGCAGGACAGTATGTCCATGCTCGCTCTTCAGATCCACATTCTCCAGCAATGTATTAAGATTGTCGGGAGTGATCGGGCCCGCCTGGTATTCAACCTTACACTCCGTATTTCCCACAAAATACGAACCCATGGAGTCATACACATGTGTGAGGTACTCGTCGATCGTGATTGGCCAGATGGTTTCGTCGGGGTGGAACTTGTACTGCGGCGAGTATTTGACGGCCAAGTCCTCCCAGAATGGATCGCACGCGTGGTTTGTTTTCAGATCGGTCTTGCACGGGTCGGCAGGCGTGGGCGGGTCCACCTTGCCAGCAGGCATGGGGGGGTTGGCGTAGCGGACCAGCGCGGTGAATTGCGTCTGGAACCATTGCCCTGCGCGGGTCGCGCTCGGTAGGGCGTCCAGGCCCAGCGCGTCATCGGGGTTGCACTCGCGATCCACGGGGAAAATGCCCAGAAACTTTGTTCTGGGGAGATGAGAGGTTGGTTTGGAGGAAGGAAGAGAGATGAGTGAAGGTGTATCGAGAAGCACAGCCAACCGTTTCAACATCTGATAAATCATTTAGTAGGTGTGGTCATGATGACCCATTGGCAAAGAGGAAGGGACACACGCACTAGGAAACAAGTAGGACCACACCGCAGGCGCATAGGAGGGATTAGGTACTTACGAATGGCCATCGCTCTCCCCAGGCGGCTTGATCCAAACCAGAGCATCAACCACCGAGCAGGCAAGCAAAAGGTGTGTGGGAAAGGGGAGGGAGCCGCATGAGACCACCCGAGGCCCCCTCGGGAAACGCCATTCCAAAACAGGATCGCCAAGAAAAGAGAAGAGAAGAGAACAGAACAAAAGCAACAGCAAGAAAAAGAAAGGGTGCTCACCTTGCGGCGCATTGGCAGGATTCGCCTCGAGGCGCTGTCCGATTCCCGCGCCCTTCACGTTGCACCACGACCCCCAGCGCTTCCGAATGCCAGCGCGGCCGGACCGGCTGGTGTCCACAATCCACCTGGTCGGCAAGCCCAAGGCTCCCAGGTACGCATTCATGCGCGACGTGAACCGGTTCTCGTCGATGCACGGGTTCCAGTCGTAGCACATCTCGCCCGTGCTCGGGTTCTTCGCGAGTGGGCACTTTTCTAACGCCGGGCATCCGGACGCGAAGAGCGGGATGTAGTTGGCCACGTTGGACGCGAAGCCGCGGATCTTGGCGTTCGCGCGGATCTGCCGCGCGCGCGTGAGGACCTTCTTGTACACCGCCACGACGCGCTTCATCCCCTCCGGCCAACCTGCTCATGCATCGGAAGGTGAGCGGCGTAGGAGTGAGGGGCGGGGTAAGAGAGAATAGAGCGAAGCGAAACGGTGGAAGCAGGGCTATGGCTGAAGGGGGAGGAAGTAACGGAACGCAACGACGACGCACGCACTCACCGAGCCAGCCGCCGAAGCTGGAGTCGAGATAGAGCGTGGTGTCGGGGATCTGCGAGAGCTCCGCAATGGCATACGCGACGCCCTCCGTGTACTCCTTGTCCGTCGTCGCGTCGCACCGGTTCATCCCCATGTTGGTCGCGATGTTGGGCAGCGAGTCGGGCTCGATCACGAGCGAAAGACGCACGTTCGCCGCCTTCTTTTGAAAAGCCAGCACGGCAACATCGATGTGCTTGGTCTTGTGCGTGTCGAGGCCGCCCTTGGGAATCTCCCCATTAGATGACCACGCCTTGCAGTCGCGGCCCGGGAGGTCGTAGATCACGAATTGCACGAGAATGGGTTTGCCGGCCGCCTGAGCCTTAGCGTCGTCGAGGTGGCCTTGGATGGAGTCGAGCGCCGCCATCCTGTCCAGCCACACGGCCGTCGGATGATCCGCCACGCTCGCGAAAAACGGCGCATCGGAGGGAAGCGTGGCGCGCATCGCGGATTTCACGCTCGTCTTGTACCCGGGGTTGAGGTACTGCTTGACTGTCGCGTAGGGGTTGCCGGTCGCGCTGTCGCCGACGCGGTAACCGCACGACGTGCCAGTGGCGGGGACCAATTCAGTGGCGTTGATCGCCCCCTTGAGCCAGCACGTGCCGCCGTTGAAGGCGCTCCACGTCCAGTGCGTGCAATCCGCGCGGCTCAGGCACTGCTGTCCGCACGTCTCGCCCTTGCCGGCGGCTCGGCCGATGTCGTTGCCGACCCAGTCACAGTCGAGCGACCACTGCACTTTTCCGGCCTCGGAGCTTGAGAAGTTAAGGGCGGCTGAAGCAGGTGTCGGATGGAGAGCCATCAGCACGACTAGTATCACCCATGCCAATGTAGGCAAAAGGAAACGCGCATCCGCCATCGCTCAAGTTGGTTGGTTGGGAGGAATGAATGACTCATGAATAGCTCGGAGCTACAAGTATGGCAACGGGGAGGAATGAATGAGCTACGGGGGGGTCGTCCCTTTTGAACACCGCCAGATCCAAGCCGCACTGCGGCTCGGATCACATCGGAGGCAAGCTCGGATTCAGTTCTGTCCGTCATTCTGCTGTGCGGTCCGAGGGGTGTGCTATGACAATTATTGAACTACTCGCATTGGACGCAAGATCAACTTGGGTCATTTCCGTCACTCTGCTGCCAACCTACGATCCAAAGTGACGCCAATAATTCTAGGAAATAGACGGTCAGAGCAAGTAAAAGGCACACGCTGGTTGGTGCGTGGTGGCGTGTGGTGTCAACGAAATGGGCAGTTGTGTTAGCATAGCAGTAACCGCGGGAAGCCAAGGCAAGTGAGATCAATAATGGAGGAAGAAGACCACCAGAGCAGCCGTACAAGAGGAGTGTTTGGAGAGACAGGTAAAACACCAAATCAGTGGTGCGCGTTGGGTGCCTGCCAGGTGCCGTGTAGTGTGGCGCGAAATGTGAACATCCCAACACGGTTGAGCGCGGTTGTACTTGAATTACCGTTCTGGAAAACAGTGCACCAAATTGTACCATCCCTGTACTGTACTGCTTGGCAGGGGAAGGTTCATAGCCTCCAGCGTGACTATAACGCATTTTCCATCCGTAACAGAGACGGCGAGGGAGGGTCATTCGCGATAGCTCGGAATTTCCTCGTCATGTTTCGCTGCGTAATTCATAGTTTCATTAACACACTGGTGTGTCGCACACGGGTAGAAATCTGTGGCGAAGACGTTACAAGTAATCGCAAACCGTATGCGATGTTGCCGCAAGCACCGTCATCACTCTCGCAACAGCCTGCACCAGCATAACCTTCACAAGAAACAAATCGTTTTGTAGAGTAATTCATTTTCGTCCATACGATGTCTGATAACCGAGATCTTGGAATTCGTATGACTACATGTTAGGCCCATGCCGTTACGATTTGTTCGAATTTTGCCTCATTCTCGTCAATCCCTCCTCTCTTGTCACCTCGACCGACCGTCGTGGTAATTCTATTGTCGGCTCGAACTTCGATTCATTGCGCGCCGAGCTCGCGGGATGGCTGCAGGATCGGATCGTGCAGGCGGAGTCGCAATTCCGGAGTGGGCTGTCCGGCGCGCCATGGCATTCGCATGACTAGTCGGGGAATGCCACGGCGCGGGAAACAAACAGTTCTATCAGCGCTACCGGCGCTACGAGCGGTATCGGCAGCGGATATATAAAACGAGCCATTAGCGCACTGATTGACTGTAACGAGTCAGCAGAGCGCGCTCCCCTCACCGTCAGCTACGTCTTACAGGGTGAATAAGAAGTGAGGGGAGGTGGCGTCACAAATCGCCCTAGCTGGCTGTGCACGATGTGCATCATCGCCACCATCACCAGCGCCACCACATCACTGCCCCAACCGTCCTGCTGCATTCTCACCTGACATGCTGCCATGCCGTTCCCCATCCACCATGCCTTTTCATTTCCTCCCCATACACCGTGCCATGCCGTCCCCCCTCTCCTACCCGCAACCTTCTCTCCTACCCTTCCAAATCCCTCCCCAGCCGCATCTTCCATGCAGTGCGCACCTTAAGGTGGAGGGATGGCGCGAGCAGCAGCAGGCACTACGTCGCATTTTCGACTTTTGAAGACGAGCAATGCATGTGTACGGCAGCTACAAGGTGACTATAACGAGCCGTGCAATTCATGCATCTACGGCAGTTGTCGGTGGGCTAAAAATGCTGGTTGAACACAGCGAGCAGTAAAAAAAAAACACACAAAAAAAAGAAAAGTCTATTCCTGTTGTCGAAAGAATAGTCTATTCCTTCCACAGTGCGCTCCTTGAAGCCCCTTACTCGTAGTTCTTCTGTGTTCGCACGCAAGCGCTTTCTGCCTGCTTCCCTCTAATCTCCCCGCTCCTCTCATCCCGATGTGGGCGCTGTCAGTCAGCTGTGCCAGGTGCGCGTGCATTTGAGCAGGCTGAGCGAGGAGCAGCGGTGGGCGGCATGGGAGGAGCAGCACGAGCGGGGTGCGGAGATACTGCACTCGCTCTGCACTGAGATGCAGGGCTTCTTTATCGAGATACGGCCGCAGCAGCCATGCTCACGCACGTGATTCTAGTTGACCACTGCACGCACACACAGGGCTTTTTTCTCAACGTACCCCCGCTGCAGGGTTGTTACCTCTCAAGGTACCCCCGCAGCAGCCGTGCTCACGCATGTGAATCTACTTGTCTAGTTCGCCTGTGCGCCACCGATGGACAAGTGGCTGAAATAGCTCACGGAGTGAGACATGAGCCACTAGAGCAGCCTCAGGCTGGTGACTGTCCGCCACTTGTGCATCGAGATGCACGCTCAAACACTCGAACCTCTACCCACAGGTTTTATGCCGCACAGCCATTCTCATTCTCTGGAGCTCAGGCACGTGAATATATTAGTTCGCCAGTGCACGCACGTGCACGCCTTCTTCCTCTTCCCTTCACTCTTCCCTTCACTCTTCCCTTCCCTTCCCTTCTTCCCTTCCCTCTTCCCTTCCCTCCCTTTCCCTCTTCCCTCTTCCCTTCCCTCTTCCCTCTTCCCTTCACTCTTCCCTTCCCTCTTCCCTCTTCCCTTCCCTCTTCCCTCTTCCCTTCCCTCTTCCCTCTTCCCTTCCCTCTTCCCTCTTCCCTTCCCTCTTCCCTTCCCTCTTCCCTCTTCCCTTCCCTCTTCCCTCTTCCCTTCCCTCTTCCCTTCCCTCTTCCCTTTCCTCTTCCCTCTTCCCTCTTCCCTTTCCTCTTCCCTCTTCCCTCTTCCCGCTTCCCATTCCGTCTTATCTCTTCGCCCTTTAACATAACCATAATCTGGGTTGGACGGACAGGATGGCTATATTGGGGTGGGCGGATAGGGTTGATAAGGTGGGTAGGGCATATACATGTGCGAAAGTGGGTGGGGTGGATATGTTTGATAAGGGTCGCCTCGCCTTATCTAACACCGCATTCAGCTCTCTCGTACACACACACACACACACACACACACACACACACACATTCCACCAATGCTGCACTGCACCCTCCATGGCTTTCCATGTCAATGCCATGCAACATGCCGTGCCATGTGAGATGATAACCTTGAAGGAGTGACAGTTGTGCAGTCAAGTATGGCTCCAACGAGCAGCAGCCACACCAGCACCCACTCACCCCCTTGCCTCAAGCACCCTCACCCACTTACCCTCACCCCCGTTCCCTGGCTCACAACAACCCCAGCTCCCCTCCCCAGAAAGAAAGCAGCAATGCCGTGGCTCATGTGCTTACCTGCAAGCTTGCGGTCCGCTTCTCTCCCCTCTTCCCCCACTCCCCGCCCATCACACTTCCAGCTGTTGGACATAGGGACGGACGAGTCCTCCTTGCTTGTTGACCGGAGGGCTCGGCAGTGGATGCACATCAGAACCATCACGTGCTTGACAAGCATGTGGTCCCATCTCTCCTTCCCCCAACACCTTGTTTCCCAACCCCCGCCACCCGTCACCCCCCCAGCTGTTGGACATAGGGACGGACGAGTCCTCCTTGCTGTATGGAGTGGAGGGATAGGGATTGAGAGTGGGCGGGCATCAGAAGCACCACGTGTGTGACATGACAAGCACCACGAGCTGAATCCACCAGCTCACTTTCTGCCACTTATAAGCATCACACGCTTGTGTTGAGACGGTGCCATCACGTGGTTCACACAGTTCAAACTGCTGTAGCAACTGAGCCCTACATATGCTTTTAACTTAAGAACATACTTTCGGGGAAGCAATCTTGAAAGTCCAACTGCTGATAACTTGCAATTGAACTGGTGTTTCTGCTCTCTCAGAGCAATGATGCATCTTGCTTGGTTTGCTGAGTGGTAGTATATGTGTGATGTTGATTGTGTGCAAGTTTCTGTTTGTCTGTTTTTGTATGGCTGGATGGAAGTGTATATCTGAAATAAATACAGCATGCAAAAAAGGCCAAACTCTAACCAATCAGCTCATACACAGTCACTCATGCACACATCACAATCCATTCTGTCGCAATTTTCCATGCAACATGCCCTGCCATCCCATCCCATGTGCCACAAGAAGTGGTACCTAATCAGCCAACCATATCCCTTCAAAATCAGGAGTGGCACTCAGCCCGCCTCAGCGGGATATGGGCTGCACCACAAGGGGGGACCGCACGCTGTGGCCCTGGTTGTCAGCCCAGACTAGATACCCGTACTTGAAGTCATTACTGGGGGTATCCACCGTGATCGTCAGCGTGTAGCTTTTCTTCTCCCCGGGAGCCAGCATGAGGCTCCTAGGCCCCACAGTCACCTTCACGCCCTGCGGGGACTTCCCAGATACACTGTACGTGGAATGAGACTGCCCCACGTTGGTGACGGTGCGGGTGACCTGCAGGGAGCCCTGCAGGCGAGGCAGAGTGATAGTGGGCAGGTTGAGGTTCCGAACAGCCAGAGGCGAGAGCGCCACCCCTGGGAACTCCTTTTTCGCGCGGTTGAAGTCCTGCCCGGCGAGGAAATTCTGGTAGTCGCGGTCGCGGGCGTCGTAGGTGAGGCCGGGGTCGAGCATGGCCGGGGGGAACACGTGGCCTGCGCCCATCTCCCACGGGGTGGCCTCCCCACCCGTCGAACTCTTGATTGGGCTCTTGCTCGTGTCCGTCACCCGCGCTGTCGTCATCAGTGCTGACATCACCTGCGCCGGGGTCCAGCTGGGGTACTTCTGGATGATTAAAGCGGCTAGCCCCGCTAAATGCAGGGTGGCCATGGAAGTGCCCAACATGCGGCCGAGACCGCCGGTGTCGCCGGGTTTGTTCCCGGGAACAGCGGCTACGAGGTCGACTCCCGGGCCGATGATGTCGGGCTTCAGAATGGCGTTGCCTGGCTTGGGCGGCTGGGCCGTGGCGGAGGGCTCCAGCAGGGGGCCGCGGGAAGAGAAGTCAGCCACCACCGGGGCGGAGGAGGAGGAGGAGGTGAAGGTGATCCCCCCGTCTGCAGTCAGAACCGTGCTGCTGCTGCCTTCCGTGCTGTTACCATTGAAGTTGCTGTCTGTGCTGCCGTCAGTGCCGTTGCAGTTGATGTTGCTGTTGCTGTTGCTGCTGGCAGAGGCGGTGCTGCTGAGAGCGAGCGACTGCGCGCCGGCAGTAGAGGAGGCGAAGAGGCGCCGCCTCGGGCAATGGTGCTGGCACCAACGGTGAGGTAGAAAGGCGCGAAGTTGTCAAGCGTGCGGTAGAAGCCTCCACGCCCGGGAGGCCCGGCGTTGCCGGCAGCAAAGGTGACAAACACCCCGGCAGCATTGGCGCGCATGAAAGCGAGATCGTTGAAATAGTTGTCGTTGGGATCCACGACCCCCAGAGACAGCGACAGCACATCCACACCATCCGCCACGCCCTGATTCACGGCTGCGATGATGTCTGATTCCGTGCCGTACATGTCCCCGTTGCGGTCCGTCCAGAAGATCTTGTACGCCGCAATGCGCGCTGCCGGCGCCATGCCGCTCACCTGCCCGCCGCCCTTCACCTTCACGGGGTTTCCCGCGGCTGCCCCCGCGCACCACGTGCCATGGCCGTCCGCATCTCGCGGCGTGAGCCAGTCGTTGGTCAACACGGGCTTTCCGCTGCTCTGCTGGAAGCCAGCATAGAAGGCCTTGGCGCCGATCAACTTGTTGTTGCACCGGAACGAGCTCGACTGCTCGCACTTGCCCTTCCACCCCGCTGGCAGCTGCGAGGAGAAGCCCTTATCGCTGAAGGACGGGTGTTCGGGCCAGATACCCGAGTCCACGATCCCCACCACCGTGCCCTCGCCCGTCTTGCTCTGCCCGCCCACTGCCGGCCACACCTTCCCGGGCAGCCCCAGAAACTGCGGCGAGTCGCTGGTCTGCCGGCGGAACACGCGGCTGGCGCGGACGGACGCCACCGCGGGATGGCGCTGCAGCCGCCACGCCTGGTATGGCGTGAGGCGCGCGGCGAAGCCGTTGGACGTGTGCTTGTAGCTGTAGAGCAGCCCGTCATCGAGTACGCCCGCCTCAGATGCCACCTGCGCTTGCTGCCGCTGCAGCAGCCCCGCGTACGCCGCCACCTGGGGACGGTCCATGCTCAGACTCAGCCGGTGCCGCGGGCACCCGCTGCCGCCGTTACGTCCGCTACCGTTACCGCCACGACCGCCGTGACCGCCGCGAGTGTTGGGAGTGGCGGCGGCGTCAGATGTGCCGTTTACGGGCGGCACGGGCACAGTTGCGTTGGGAAGGAGGTTGTCGCCGTTGGTGTCGTCCAGATCGACGGATTCGTCGCCTGCGACGGCGGCGGAGTCGTCGGCGGAGAGAATCATCTCCGGCACGGAATCACTGTCCTCCTCGTCGCTGCCGTCGTCCCACGTGGCCGTCGCGGGGTAGCCCGCGATTCCGCCGCGATATTTGGAGAGGGGAGGCGCCGTGCTCAGGCGAACGATGTAGACCGCGGATCCGTCTGCAGCTGGCGTCGCCAGTTTTCCAGAGTTTTCCCTAGAGGGAGCGGCGAGGTGCGAGTTCTCTCTTCCGTTGCGCCATGCGCGGTTCAGGTTGCGCCAAACTGATTCGCGGCTTGCACTGGATGGCTGTGCCGCTAGGAGGAATGCGGCCAGCAGCAGCAGCATCGCGATTGCGGGACCGTCCCTCATGACGATACTTAGCTATTCGAGGGCAGGTGTTTGTCCTAACGGTGCCTGTCACGGTAGCTTGCAGACGTTTGTTGGCCTGAAACCTGCAGAACGAATCGAAAGGAACAGATGTTGAATAGCTGTGAATGCTACTGAAAGGCTTGAATTGTGATGCTGGTTCGAGTGGGGTTTGTTTTGTACTCGCCAGCTCACATGCGGGGTGTCACATTTGGGCGGGATGGGGGGGGCTCGTCGCGCCGCGATGCACCTGCACGGATGGTCAGAATTTGCAGAAGGTCCGAAGATCGGGCAGGTAAGGGATTTCTCTGGCTTGCCTGCGGCTTTGGTTGAACCATGTGGATCACCAGGTTTCGCGAAACGCGTCGTCAAAGCACTGTGTTATTTTCTGGAGGCTCTGGGTTCGATGAAGTTTTCGCACATGCGTCGCATTGTTCGCACTTTCGCAATTATTCCGTCCTCTGGCAGACCGTGCATAGCCGTGACGGGCACTTGAAGCTTGGTCCTCAGGGGAATGCGGCGCGGGTCAGTCTGAGCGTGTACGGGACGGGACGGGACAGACCCAGTGCATAGGAGTTTATGGTTACCAGCACTCCCCTTTCGCTCGGACCACCAGCCCAACGAAATCCATGCCAAAGAAAGAACGAAGTCGAAAGTCGCGGAAGTCAACGGGCAAGGACCAGGGAGGCCGCCAGCAAAGCTGGGAGGGATGCACATTATTTGTATCTATAGTGAGTACAACAAGAATCTGATCCTAGATTGGCTATAGTTTGGTCATTGAGCGTTCACATCATTGGCTCACTAGGTTGATTGAGCTGTTGATCGATGACCTCAATGTGTACAGCCACTGTCCAATATTCTGATTCGTTATTGGCTACAGGTTAGTTATTTGCTACGATCAGAGAATGATAGTTTACCAGGATCTACTCGGGAAGGTTCGCACGCAGGGAAATGTAGTTGGTGGGCCCGTGACCTCAATAGCAGAGTGAATGTAAAATGCTTGAGATGATTAAAACATGCAAATACAGCAAGTATAAATATGAGTACAGGGAAGACGAAACGTCCTAGCTAGCCATGTACTCTAAGGGGTACATTCCCTTATTCAAATACATTCAACCGTGCGGCGCGTACAGTTTCGTAACTGTTCCCGCCAAGAACATCCTGCCTGCAGCTGTCCGATGCCGTCTGCCTCCGACGGTCCAGATGCGCCCCAACTGTCTGACACTTCGAGTCAAACTCCAACTGTCTGACGGTTCGCTTTCTTGCTTCGATACTGCGTGCTTCTCTTTGCTGCGGTGAGGAGTGCTCAGTAACAATTACATGTTACTATTCGTAACACCCCCCTTCACTCCTGGCCGTAGCTCGATTTGACCTGTTTGACCACGCCGCTGAGTTCGGAGCAGTGCTGATACTGCTGGCGTGGCAGTCGCTTCGTGAGAAAGTCTGCTGCCATGTCACCGGTCGGGCAATAGGTCAAGTTGACCTTGCCCTTGTCCACTTCGTCCTTCACGAAGAAATATCGCAGCGCAATGTGCTTGGTGCGATTGACGAAACCAGGTTTGTTCGCGATGCGAATCGCGCTCTGGTTGTCGCAGTGAAGTCGAAAAGTTGGCGAAGCTGGAATTTTCGCCTCCTGCAGGAGTTCCTGTAGGTAGAGGCCCTCGCGAACTGCTGCGGTTGCTGCGATGAATTCTGCTTCGGCCGACGACAGGGCAACCAGCTCCTGCTTCTGTGAGTTCCAGGAGATTGGCCCCGTTGGTTCGATTCTGAACAGGAAGCCGGTCCTGGACCGTCGATTGTCGGGATCTGCTGCATGATCGGCATCCACATAGCCGACGAGATTGAAGGATGGGGTTGGAGCAGTTGAGTAGCACAGCCCAATCTTGGGCGTTGAGACGAAAAATTGCAAAGCGCGCTGCAGGTCCAGGTGATTTTCAGCCGTTGGTTTCCGTGAGTGCTGGGCAAGCTGACTTGCGATGTAGGAGAGGTCTGGCCTGCAGGTGACAGAGGCGAAGAGGAGGCATCCCAGCTGCTGTTGGTAAGTCTGGATTCCAGCAGGGGATAGGGCTTTGTTGTCAGGTTTGTGATTCGGTCCGGGGGTTCGGTAGGGAGTCGAGAGAGGTGCGGGTGAAATCTTGAACCGCTTCCCTAACTCCTCTGCATACTTAGCCGCTGAGAGGTGAATGGCTTCAGGCGCGTAGGAGATGTTGAGGCCTAGGAACTGCTTCACCTCGTAGTTGCACGTGATGTCGACGCGCCCCGCCAAAGCCTTCTCGAACTGCTCGAGCAGCTCGTTGTTTGAGCCCGTGTAGAGCAAGTCGTCGACGTAGACCGTGAGGAGGATGTATTCCCCGCGGAAATCGCGGCGGTACATCCCTAGGTCGTGGGGCATCTGCTTGAACCCGATTTCAAGCAGGATGTTGTGCAAGTACTGCTGCCACAGCCTTGGAGCCTGCTTGATGCCGTACAGTGACTTGCGCAGCTGACATACGCGCGAGTCACCTTCGCCATAGGTGTGTGGTTGCTCCACGTAAATCACAGCGTCCACTAACGCGTATAGGAACGCGTTTTTGACATCGATCTGGCGGAGTGGCAGGTGCCTTGCAGCTGCGATGGCGAGCAAGATGCGGACGGAGGTGTGGCGACTGACGGGGGCGAATGTCTGGTCGAAATCGATCCCATGCCTCTGGTCATAGCCGCGAACCACCCAGCGTGCTTTAAAGCGCTCAATCGTTCCGTCAGCTGCGGTCTTCACGCGGAAGACCCATTTCCCCGAAAGGATTCTTGCACTTTTGATTGCTGCGCGGTCGACGAGCACCCAGGTGTCGCGTGACTCCAGTGCCTTGATTTCCGCGTCCATTGCCTCACGCCATTCCTTGCTGTGTGGTCCAGAGAGGGCTTCGCGCGGGTTTCGGGGCTCGATGACGCGCGGCGCTTTCGAGGTTGCTGTGTGAAGTCCGAGCAGTTGTAGTCCTGAGACGGTACTGTCGTGGCGACGCTGCGGGATGACTTCCTGCACGTCATCGTCGTCGCTCTCAGGTTCAGGTGGTGCTGATGGTGTTGTGCCTCCGCCGCTTCCGCCCGTTCCGCCCATTCCTCCTCCTGAGGAATCATCGTCGTCGTCGCTGCTGCGCCGATCTTCCCAAGTGAATTCGGCCCTGGTGTCCTGCTCTAGAAGTGCTGCAGCGGCTTCGTCTTCGGGCGTTGCGTAACTGTGGCCGTTGTTCGCGTAAACGCGATCTGCATTCCTCTGCTCGTCGTCGCGGAACTGGTCGAGGAAGAGACGCTCGTAGAAAATTACGTCGCGAGCGTGGGCGGTTTTCTGACTGAGGAGGTCCAGTACGATCCATGCTTTGTACTCGTGACTGATGCCGAGGTGAATTCCCCAGCGCGCGCGACTGGCGAATTTGCCGATGGTTGATGTTGGCGGGCGGTACTGCACCATGCACCCCCACACGCGGAGCATGGAGGTATCCCCCTTGGTCCCGGTCCATTTGACGTGCGGGGAGAGATTCCCGGTGATCGCGGTGGTTGAAAGCAGGTTGTGCACCCGCACGGCGTGGTGCATTGCGTAGGTCCAGTAGATCGGCGGCAGCTTCGACTGCTTCATCAGCGCCCGCACCTTCGTCATCAGTGTGCGATTCGTTCGCTCCGCTACGCCTTGCTGCTGATGTGCGTAGGGGAGAGAGATGTGATGCTCGATCCCCTTTTGCGCCAGGTAAGTCTGCATCTGGTTGCTCCTGAACTCTGCCGCGCCGTCAGATTGCCAGATTTTGAGCTTCTTTCCAGATTGCCGCTCCGCATGTGCTAACCAGAGCCAAAACACCTCGTAGGCTCTGTCGCGCGTCTCCACGTTCACGACCCACACGTAGCGTGTTCCAGCGTCAATGAAGGTGAGAGTGTATAGCTCGTCCTCGACTCCGCAATGCCCTACGTTCAGGAAATCGCTGTACACCTTGTGCAGTTTGGGGTAGCGGTTCGTCCCAGGTTCGAGCAGCGGGAACGGTTGGTGGCTCAGCGCAGCTTCGGGGCAGACTGTGCAGTTGCTCGGGTGCGTTGCGCCTCTCACTTCGGAGCCATCAGGGCCTGGAGCGAAGACGCCTGCGTCGATACAATTTTTCAGCGTTGCGCGAGAAGGATGTCCGAGGCGCTGGTGCCAGAGTGCGTCGTCAGCGCGAAAGCCGGAGGTGCGCATGTAGCGCGCGCGGGCTTCCTCCGGGTCTTCATCAGGTACGGGAGCAGGTTCTGCTGCTGCTTCTTCTGCATCTTCTTCTTCTGCCGCGGTGGTCAGCATCAGCGCCAGGAACTCTCTGTCGCGAATCTCAGAGAGTGGGATGTTGGTCCCAGGGATGGTTCCAGGGACGAGGGTTGGTTCGCGTGGTTCGGGAGCCGGTCCGTAAGCGGTGCGACGCGGGGTTGACGGCTCGTTGCCCCAGGCGATGGTGTCCCATGGATCGCGGCGCGGTGGGTTATCAGGAGGAGGTAACGCGAGTGGGACATGGCGTGCGGGGCGACCGAGGGGAACAACTGCAGATTCTCCAGCTTCTTCTTCCCCCCTTTGGTCTTCGCGGGGAGCCCCCCAGCCTCTAGTAGAGGTGCCCCGGCCACTCGTGTCAGCGCCAGAGGCGGCGCCCCATTCGCCGGTTGCCGTTGCCCAGTCGCCAGCCTCAGTCGTTCCCCAACCGCCGACGTTTTCCCACCCCCCTTCATTGGTGGCGCTTTCTTCAGCTTCGGCGCCCCATGCGGCGCAAGCGAACGTTCCGCGTGCCTCGGTGAGGCTTTGTTGGCGAAGCTCCTCGGCTTCGCGGCGCGCCAGTTCTTCCTCTTGTTCCACGGTGAGTTTTGCCGTGGGGTCGCGCCAATGTGGGTAAATCTGCAGAAAATTCTCGCGGGTGTAGGGGCGTGGCATGCCACGCGCATCGAAGGTACCGACACCAGTTCCACGAAGCATCCCTCGAAGATGTTGAGAAGGGGGACCTGTGAGGGGGTGCTCAGGCGTGCCG